TCCAGCTTCGTGCTGCTGCCCCTGGTCTGGCTCCGCCCACCGGACCCAGGCCCCGCCCTTAACCTCAGTGAGTGCCTGGACAGCCCCCGCCCTCTGGGCCTCTGGGCATCCTCGCTGGGGTCCAGCCAGGGACTCACCTGACTAGCCTGTTGCACGGCAAGGCCTCCCGGGGTGAGGGCTACGGAGTGGGTGGGGGCACATCCTCCCTTATGCCTTGGGGACCCTTTCCTGTTGGCCCCCTCCCTCCTCAACAGCCCTCCAGTGCCCTGGTGACCCCCAGCCCGCGACTGCTGTTCCCAGTTTCCACTCCCGACTTTGGAATGTGTTAACTGGCCGGGTAAGTGGCCCCATCCCAGCGATGGCTCCGGAGGGAACTGGCCTCAGGGGACCCCAGTCGAAGTGGACACTCACCTCTCTAAGCACATTTTGGCACTGACTTATTTATTTGCTCATGGATGTCAGAGAGGAAGGAAGAGGGAGAGAGAAACATCAATGATGAGAATCACTGATTGGCTGCCTCTTGCACTCCCCCTATTGGGGATCGAGCCCACAACCTGGGCATGTGTCCTGACCGGGAATCGAACCATGACCTCCTGGTTCAGGGGCCGACGCTCAACTGCTGAGCCACGCCGGCTGTGAGACATTTTGGCTCTTAGGGGGATGGTCTTACATAGACAGCCTGGCCAGGCCAGTGATGGGGTCAGAGAGAGCGGAGGCCACTGGGCACCAGCCGGGCTTGGGAAAAGCACCCACAGCCCTCGGGGCCCAGCTGGCCTGGAGCACCGGGGACAGGAGGGGACAAGCGTGCAGGCCTCTGAGACCAGCACCATACACCCTGGTCCCTGAAAGCCTCAACACTGTGTGGCCTCGGGCAGGCGCCTGACCCCTAGGAGCCTCTGTGAAGTGACGGGGTTATTGTGAGAGTCAACAAGCACTTAGCACCCAGCCGGGCAGGGACTGAAGCTCAGTGGTCCTCACCCTCGTCCTCACCCGCGTCCCAGGCCTTCAACAACACCTATCTCTTTTATGGCGCCTACCGGGCGGGGCCCGAGGGCAGCTCCGCCTACAGCATCCGCCTGGCCTACCTCCTGAGCCCGCTGGCCTGCCTCCTGCTCTGCTTCTGCGGGACCCTGCGACGGTGAGCGAGGAACTGGGTGAAAGGGGTAATGGCGGGGAGGAGGTCGCCACCCTCCCTTGGCATAGTCCCGCCCCCAGCCGGCAGGACGGTCCTGGCTCTCGTCCAGTCAGGCTCACAGGTGCCTCCGGGGTACAACCTCTGGGTCCCCGGCTGCAGCCCTCAGGGCCCCAGGCCACCCCCTCTGTGTCCCCTCCCCGACCCAGGAGGCCAACGCCTGGCCCCGGGGCTGCCGAGGCGCCCTCCCACAGGCCCTGCCTCCTGCCCCCCCAGGATGGTGAAGGGGCTGCCCCAGAAGCTGTTCCTGGGCCAGGACTACCGGTCGCCGCTCAGCGCCAAGGTCTTCTCCTCCTGGGACTTCTGTATCCGCGGCCGCGAGGCAGCCGCCATCAAGCAGCACGAGATCAGCAACGAGTTCAAGGTGAGTGAGGGCGTGTGTGTGTGTGTGTGTGCATGCGTGGGTGTGTGTGGGCGTGCGAGTGTGTGTGTGTATGCGAGTGTGTGTGCGAGTGTGTGTGTGTGTGGGCGTGCGAGTGTGAGCGTGTGTGCGAGTGTGTGTGTGTGTGTGTGAGAGAGAGAGAGAGAGAGAGGGAGCATGTGGTATGTATATGAGAGTGTATGTGTATGTGGACATGCGTGCACACAGATGTCACACCTGGAGGCGGAGGCTGGGCGGGTGTAGGTGTGAGCTCACCTGCTCACCTGCACAGCACAAGGAGGGGAGGTAAAAGCTGCTGCCACTCCTGGGCCTGTCCCTGCCCAGGGTCACCCCAACCCTGCCTAGACCCTGGCCGCCCCACCTGCCTCTGCTTCCACCCCCCACCCCCGCCCCCCGCAGGTGGAGCTGGAGGAGGGCCATCGGTTCCAGCTGGCGCTGCAGCAGACGCGGGCCCAGAGAGCCTGCCATCTGCTCTCCTACCTGCGGGTCAACTTCCTCATCGGGCTCCTGGTGGTCGGGGCCATCAGCGCCATCTTCTGGGCCACCAAGTACTCGCAGGACAACAAGGAGGTGCCGGGCGGCTGCCATGTTGGTTTAGTCCTGGCCGCCCGCGGGAGGAGGCGGGTGGTTGCTGAGGAAGCTGAGTTCAGAGTGGTTAAAGCAACGCGCCCAGTCAGGGCCCCATCCGACTGGGACAGCCCTCGGCCGCCAGGTTGCCATCGCCCGGGGCCTTCCAGGCGCGGGGGCCTGCCCCAGTTACCCTGGAGGGGGTGGAGGGGAGGGGAGCTACCGGACACCCCGGCCCATGGTACCCCCTCCCTGCTTTCCCGGCAGGAGACCCTGTTTGTGCTGCTGCAGTACCTGCCCCCTGGGGTCATCTCCCTGGTCAACTTCCTGGGCCCCCTGCTGTTCGTCTTCCTGGTGCAGCTGGAGAGCTACCCTCCCAACACGGAGGTCAACCTCATCCTCGTCTGGTGAGCGAGGCCCCGGTGCCAGGCGGCCCGAGGGGAGGCGGGGCGCTGAGGCACGGGAGCGGCTGGGCCCTGGTGGTCTCCTGGCACCAGGGTCCCAAGCAGGGAAGGCAGGAAGGTGCTTCCAGAATGCTCCGTCCCAGGGGGCCCTGGTGGGAGGTGTCTCCATCCCCTCTGCCCAGACCAGACCGCAGCCTGGACCAAGCCACGCCAAGGGGCCCGTGGCTGGTTTGCCAGAGGGTGTTGGGAACCAGCGGCACACACGTAGGGAAACCAGGGACATGGGACTCACGGTTCCCACGCGCCCGGGGGCTTACACCCTTCCCTCGACAACCCTCACGTGACCCGTAAAGTCAGAGCCCCCCATCACCCCTTTGAACAGGCAGGGAAACTGGTTCACAGGGACCGAGCCTGCTGCTCAGACACAAGCCCCCTCTGCCCGCACTTAGCTAACACACTGCGGGTGGCTGGGCTGGCCGTCTCCCTGTGAGGCCCCGTGTGCGTGTACAACCGCTCAGGCGGGTGCACGCACGTGTGTGGGTACACAAGGCAGTGGGGTGGGCGGGTATTAACCGGCGGCAGGCGGAGGGACGCTCTCACCTGCAATAAGTAAGGACGGTGACCCCCCATCGGGGCCTGTGCCTCTCCAAGCTGGGGGTCGGGGAAGGACGGCCGGGCTGTGCAGTGTCCCAACCTGATTGACAAACAGATCCCTTCTCCCGTGAATCATCCGGAGACCCAAGTGCTGGGGAACACGCTTTGGGGACCGTGGCCACACGGGGCAGGTGGGACGGGGGCGGGCTCTGCAGGTGGCGCCACACCCACACCCCGGCCCGCAGGTGCGTGGTGCTGAAGCTGGCCAGCCTCGGCATGTTCTGCTTCTCGCTGGGCCAGACCATGCTGTGCCTCGGCCGCAACAAGACCAGCTGTGAGTCCTACGGCTACAACGCCTGTGACTACCAGGTGGCTGGGGCTCCGGCGGGGCCTGTCCCTTTGGGCGTCTCCCCACCTCTGTGACCTCCCTGCCCCTTTCATCTCCTGGTTCCTCTCCAGGTCTCACCTTTGCGAGAGGCTGGGGGTAGAGCTTCCCATACCTGGGCACACCTCCAGGGGGTGCTGTTTGCACCACACAGCACAGTGCAGGGTGGCAGCCCGGGCGGTCGGTTTTCCTGCATGAATCGAATCCTCAGGGCCGGGGCTTTACCGTAGCAATCGTGTCAGGCTCCAGGCAAGGCCCCTGTCCACGGAGATACCCCTCCCGGGTGGGTGAGCAGTGGCTGGGCCTGTGGGTGGTGACCGGAACCATTCTGCCCAGTGCTGGGAGAACTCGGTGGGGGAGGAGCTGTACAAGCTGAGCACCTTCAACTTCCTGCTCACCGTGGCCTTCGCCTTCCTGGTCAGCCTGCCTAGGAGGTCAGCCACGTGGGGACACCATGGGGCGGTCGTGGGGGGACCTGGGCATGTCTGAGGGTGGCCAGTAGCTGCAGCCAGGGGTGAGCAGTTCTGCATGTGTGTGTCCCTGTGGCTGAGTGTGGGATGGTCCGTGGCCGTGACCGTGACAGACGTGGTCCACACGCTCCTCCCGTGGTGATGCTGGGCACGCCCTGTGCCCAGAATGCTGGTGGAGCGGTTCTCAGGCCGGTTCTGGACCTGGCTGGGCCGGGAGGAGTTCCTCGTGCCCACGAACGTGCTGGACATCGTGGCGGGGCAGACGGTCATCTGGATGGGCCTCTTCTACTGCCCCCTGCTGCCCCTGCTCCACAGCGTCTTCATATTCCTCACCTTCTACATCAAGAAGGTGCGGCTCGCGGGTGGGGCGGGAGGGAGCAGGGTGCCCTGGGTGGGCACCTTGAGTGGGGCTCCCGTCCTGCCTCTGCCCTCACCCCCGCCCCCCGGCCTCACTTCCCGGGGCCCAGGCTCCTGGGTGTCTGCACATGGGAGCATGGGAGCTGACAGCCCCCCGTTGCCGCTCGCCCCCCAGTACACCCTCCTGAGGAACTCCAGGGCGTCCCTGCGGCGGTTCCGAGCCTCGAGCTCCACCTTCTTCTTCCAGCTGGTGCTCATCCTGGGCCTGCTTCTGGCCACCCTCCCGCTGGGCTACGTGGTCAGCAGGTGCGGGGAGGAGAGGGCGGGAGGCGGAGGGCTGGCCGGGCAGCAGGTGCGGGGCCGGGGGAGAGGGCAGGAGGCGGAGGGAGGGGCCGGCAGCTCCTCACTGGGCCCTGACAAGGGTCTCTCCGACAAGGGTCTCTCCGGTCTCTCCGCAGCATCCACTCCTCTCGGGGCTGCGGCCTCTTCGCCAACTACTCAGCCCCCTGGCAGGTGGTCCCAGAGCTGGTGGCCCTCCGGCTGTCACCCCCTGTCCAGCAGGCCCTCCACTACCTGGGCTCCCAGGCGTTCAGCTTTCCCCTCCTCATCCTGCTCAGGTACCTCTAGGGCAGCAGGGGTCAAGGGAGGGGCCCCTGGGAGGGGGGTCCTTCCATGGGCACCTCCAGCCAGTCTCATGGGATCCGGAGGCAGGGCAGGGAGGCAGGTGGCCTGGGGGTTCCTCCTGTGCCCCTGGGGCCTCGCCTGTACCCAGGCACCTTACCTGGCTCCGGGGGGAGCAAGTGCCTGACGAACGCTGAGCACGGCGGGAGGAAGGGGAGGTGAGAGGAAGCCGAGAGCAAACCCAGGCCGAGAGAAGACCCCGGGAGGTGGGCGGAAGTGTGCGGGTGACTCACCTTGGATCCCCCTCTATCCAAGCCTCGTCCTGACCGTGTGCGTCTCCCAGTCCCAGGCCAACGCCAGGGCCATCCAGGGGCTCCGGAAGCAGCTGGTGTGGGTGAGTGAGCGCGGGCGAGACCCATCCGAGCAGGGTGGTCTCGGGCGGGAATGGAGGCGGGGAAAGGGCCAGGCGGTGCCAGGAGCCACGCAGGATTGTGGCCTTGGCCTTGGAGACTAGTGTCTACCAGCCGTGGCCAAACTACGGCCCGCGGGCCGGATCCGGCCCGTTTGAAATGAATAAAACTAAAAAAAAAAAAGACCGTACCCTTTTATGGAATGATGTTTACTTTGAATTTATATCAGTTCACACAAACACTCCATCCATGCTTTTGTTCCGGCCTCTGGTCCAGTTTAAGAACACATTGTGGCCCGCCAGTCAAAAAGTTTGCCCACCCCAACCGGAGTGCGGCTGAGGGCGGGGCCGGGGCGCTGTTGGGGGCGTGGTCTCGGACCGGACTAAGGCGGGACCCTGATGGGCTTTCTTGGGCGGGAACAGAGCCTTAGGAGGCGTGGCCTCGCTCGGGGAGGAGGGTCTG